CAAATTGTGGTGTTATTGTTCTTCTTCCTTGTCGTTTGACAGTGCTTTGACTAACTGCAACGTGCGCTTGCAGGTTCTAACATGTTCTAACATGATGCCATGGTGCAGTTCATTCCAGACGACTGTAGCAATTGAACGTAATTGTGCTGTTGCTCTTAGAGTCTCATCCATACATGCATTTTCCTTTTGTGGGGTATGTTGTCGTCTTGAACTACCAACATGCTTCATTCCACAATGTAGGGGCGTAAACATTCGTCCCTTGTGTCAGGCAGGCCGCAAACAAACACAAACATTCACGGCGGCAGATCTTTCACAGGATTCGCTCGCCTTGTGTCAGGCCTTCCGCTCGCACCTTAGTGTCATCTACACCAACGCCAGTGTAATGAAAGTGCGCGGTACTTCGATCATCTTGATCGCTACCTTCACCATCTGACCCTTTGAGTAGCTTTCAGGCGATTCTGGCAGATATCCGTCCACCACGGCGCCAATATCCAGAAAGACGCCCCTTTTGGTTGTGCTTGTCACTTGACCCTCGAGCACATCGCCCTCCTTGTAGTCAGGGAGCAAGCGCTTCTCAAACAGAGGTAGGGAAAATCTCATGGTCACCTCAGGTGACTCAGGTGGTGTCGCCTGGTTCGGACCCTGGATTTGACCGCTGCCCAGAAAATTATTCCTTAACATTCAACCCATGTGTCTCAAACTAACCGCGAGAGGTCAGCCCAAACCATAGGTGTCGTCATGTTTTGTCCAATCTTCATGTGTCTCAAGTGTCCCGATGCTTTATCTTTCATCGACCCAAACCATGCGTATCCTGAGTTTGAAGGAAGCTTTATTGATGCTTGTAGTTAAGGCGGGGTATCCTTCCAAGGGCCCTATAGGCTATCCCATAGGTACCCCAGTAAGGTCCTATAAGGTCACTTAACCTCTCTTGGTTTTGGCTTTGTGCGCAAGCACTGTGTTAATTGGGCCTCTTCTTGGACCTCGAAGGGGTACCGCCCCAAATTTTTTTGTTAGTGATGTAAAGTTGTGCGTTGACTGTCTTGAACAATTGCATGACCGGCATGACCAGATCTTTGCCTTAAAAAGTTGTGACCAGATTATAAGAGGACGCGTCATGCAAGGGATTTGTCCACTGCTTGCACTAGATTTTCGTGATCTGAGGTTTCTTGTATGACTTCCGCCTGAATTTGTTGCGTTTTGAACTGAAGTCTTCCTTGCCACATCAAATTTTACGATTTCCGGGCAAGTGCCTTCTTGAGCTTGCGTTGGTTCCGTTCATGTGTTGCAATGGGTTGGCAGCACGGGAGAATTCATTCTCCGATGTGGTTATTCTTTTCTTGTTGTTATCCCTAAGCTTCTCTCCCTGAGTCCAGGCTGAGACTGCATCATACCGATTTACTGACTTAGAGGGCGATGCAGTGAAAATACACAAAATCCTTGGCTTTGATTAGTTTCACTGATCAATACACTACACTCAACTGTTGTTTGTTCGACCCAAGAGTGTACCAAAAGAATCGAACCCTGCAACATGGGAAACACATACTGTATATATG